TCCCAAGCAGCTATAGGCGTGCTCCACCATGCCCAGTTAATTTTTTTTTATTTTTTGTAGAGACGAGGTCTCTCTATATTGTCCAAGCTGATCTCAAACTCCTGTGCTCAAGCAATCCTCCTATCTTGGCCTCCCAAATTGCAGCCACCATGCCCAGCCTGTTATGCTCCATTTACAAATACGAAACTAAGGTACTGAGAGGTTAGGAGCAGCAGCCAGAACAGTGCCTCACACGTAGCAAATGCTCAGTAACTACTTGACGAATGAATGAGTGGTAGTCCTGCCCAAGGTCAGTCACACAACTGAGTGCTCAAGCCTACGTTTGACTAAGGCTAACTCTTAACCTACACACTAAATGTCTTTATTTGGACGAAGTAAGTGAGAACATTTATGAACAGAAATAAAACATACCTGGATAGATGACAAAGTTTGAACAACTGAAGAATTAAAACTGGTTTTATCGATGAAATTATAAAAGAGGCAGTAGAGTGTTGAAGGTAAGAGCCTCGTCTTTAGAGTCAGAAAGATCTGATTTGAAATCCATTTTCCTGTACTTATTAGTTGTGTGACCTCTGTGAGTAACAACTTCACTTCTCTGTGCCTCAGTTTTGTCATCTGTAGGATGGAATAGTAATTATTTCTTAGCGGGAATGTGGAATTAAGAGGGGAATAAAACATGTAAAGTTACTAGCACAGGTCTTGGCATGTAGTAAATATTAATACTATTACTAGCAGTTTGGGTTCTTAAGAAAGGGAAATGACTTAATGGAAATGGTCCAGAGAAATTTAAATTTTGTAGCAGCACCCAGAATGAATTAGAAGACGAGAGAGCAAAGGCAAGAAGAATAGTAGTTGTTGAAGCAATCTGGACATCAAGTATTACCTGCAAGACAGCAGTAGTATGAATGAGAAAGCTGGGGGCGGGGGGGAGTTAATGACTCAGAGAGACAACGTAAAGGCATAATCAAAGTATAATAATAAATTTATCAGGCATTTTATGTCTTTTTAGAGAACTCTGAGGTGATTGTTGACAACTTGTCATTGGAGTTAATACTTAAATGCCCTTTGTCTTGCAGCTCAAAGCATAAGAATTATGGTTGTTCTAATTGTGATATCCTGAATATAGTGGCAAAATTTACTTGTCCCTTTTGGCCACCCCACCACCACCACCAAAATAATATCAGTTTTTTGAGATCTAAAACAATCCAAGTATTCCCTACACCCCAGGTACGTCTGTCCTTGAACAAGGGCTGCTGATTGAAAACCCATTATCTGTTTTATTTCAGTGCAAGCAGCTAATGATTCAGTCTATAGACTACAACAGAGGGAACAGGAACGAAAAAAGGTAAAAAATAGATCATTTAGATAATGGGGTATATAACTCCTGGGTGTTTATTATCATTATATAATATTATTAGCAATTGCTTTTAATCAGAAAATTCTCCAAGTGTATTTTCTTTTATGCAATGATTTGTAAAGATTGAAAAATGGCTAATTCATTGAAGATGTGTTGAGGAGGTGTGGTCACATGGTCACTCCATCAATATTTTTATGCTTGAAATTGCGGAACTCTTTTTTCCTTTTCAACGTTTCCATCATTTCCCTGAAAGTGGTATTTGTCTCATGGAGGAGAGAGAAAATGAGAAAATAGGGACTTTTACATGTAACAATAAATACCCACCAGATTGGAAATATAAATCTGTCCTTTGAACCTGAAATATTGAGTGGATTATCTGTATTTCTTCTTGAAAAGGAAGCCTTCATGACTGTGGATGGGTTATTTAATAAATAGTCATAGGAGTATGTGAATCACTTGCTGGGCAGTGCTCTGCTTATTGGAATCATATCTTAACTAAATT